TAATAATAATAATAAAGTCATTAAGGCAATTCTGACTTTTGGCAACCCTGTTCAGGTTTTTCTAGGTAGAGAATACGCAGGTGTGGTTTACGATTCCCTTCTGGGGTTACCCTTGGACTGTGCAGCTATTCAGGCAACACCGGCTGGTTCTTCTCCCAGGAGGCAATGGGGGGAATTAAACTCCCAGCCTCTGGCATTCCAGCCAGATACCTAAATCACTGAGCTATCCAGCAATCTTTATATACTTGCCTACTGATTATATACTTGCCTATTGCTTAATCACATGAATTATAACATTGTGAAGGTGGAAGGCTGCTTCTCATATCCTCCAAGTCGCTCCTGTTATGAAGATTTGTTCAGGAGGTATGTGTTAGTAGTCAAACATATTGTATCTAAGAAATGGAAGTGATGTGAGGCACTGAATAACAATTTTAAACTTAAGAGGTCTGAGGAGGTGAAAATTGCAAGTATAGCTGAATGTATCCAAGCCAGAGGAGTGTCTCTGTGTGTAATTATATCCTTCTATGGGAACAATGTTACGTCTAGAATTTATATAACTGTTCCTGTCCTATTTCTTCAGGGTCACACTGGTTGTGTCAACTGTCTGGAATGGAATGAAAAGGGAAAGTAAGTACCTTTTAATGTAAAGGATGATTGAATGCACAGTGTAACATATATTCAGAGGGGGATGGTGGAAACTGTGTAAACTGGAGTGAGCAGCTGTTTTCTAATTTGCTCTGTTGGGCTCAGTAAAATAGCACATTTGCTATTGTTATTCCATGTCCAGTAATCTTTTATAGATAAGCACAGAAAATAAGTATAGTTCACAAATTGTGATGTCACTAGAAGCTGTCAGCAACTACCTGTCATAGTGAAATAGTGTATACAGAGAGGCAGTATATCTCTGAATAGCCAGCGCTGGTATACAGGAAGCTTATCATCTTTAATACGCTGTTTGGGAATGTCTAGAGGCCTTTGGCTGCTTATGTGTGAGCTTGGCTTGATCCAGTAAAGCAGTTCTCGCCTTTTAGTTCATGTAATACAAAGTAGTGGTGTTCAGGAAGAGTTAAATGCAGGAAACAAGGAGGTATGGCAAATATGTCTAAGCTGTGGTGGGCAAGGTCTGAGGACTTGGAGGCTAAATTCAAGCCACCTGCCCCCATTGTGGGCAACATCACAGTGAAATGACCAAGAATGGCATTTTTAAAGAAAGTCAAACTTGAAATGTCCTGTCATAGTTTCAGTTTGAGTTTTTTGGGGTGGGCATCTCAGGGTAATCCTCCCAAAGCCAGTAGAAGAGAACTCTAATCTTGGAGAGGAAGAAGGGTCTTTTTGTTTGCTTGTTTGGGGTGGGGGTTTTTTTGGCCAAAATAAGACTTTTTTTGCCCAAAAGTACTTTTTATCTTGAACCAGGGAGGCCCTGGAGTGACACGGGGAGGGGGGTGTCTACAGAAATGCATTCTGCCCAACCCTGCTCTAAGCCATGTATGGATGAGGTCTGCACAGTAAAGGTTTGAGGCTTGTTGAAATGATAGATCTGGGCCATGTTTGATGTGAAAGCTTTTAACGGGCCTGGTCCTACCATGCACCAGAGTGCATTAGCCATCTAAAGTGAAGGTTCTGTGGATCAAGAGGCAGTTGTAGAGCTTCAGAAGACAGGATCCTGTCTTTGAGTATTACACGACTTGTGTCTGTTATTTAACTGCCAACAGTTGGCTTGCTTCTATACTTGGAATCTAAGGGTGTGCCATCTTGTGTTTCCCCTTCAGACAGCAGAATATAGTACACCAGTCCTGACTGTAAAGTTACACTGATTATTGTCTGTGATTCAAGCCTTTGTGCAGTAGGAAGCATCTTGTGGAAAGGCTAGGTAGTTCCATTAAACAACTATAGAAAGCACACCTGGCTAACAGGACAATTTCTGTCAAAGATATTAGTTGGAACTATGCAATGCTACATCATTTGCCTGTTGATTAGTTTGCTAATCTTATCTAGTTTCTCTCAAACTATCCTGGATGTGATGGAGATAGCTGCTTTTCCTCCTGGTTCCTTCCTGCACTCTGAAGTTCTGCAAAGATTTCAGAGTATCTGAATTACAAATATATGTTCCAGGGCAAAGTGTAAATGGATGTGGGGAAAAATGTGTGGTATAGAAGCAGGCTTTTGCAGATTGCCAGCGCAGCTGAACCTATAACATGGTGTCTCCTTTCCTTCTCAGCTTGCTGGCTTCTGGCTCTGATGACCAGCACACAATTGTGTGGGATCCCCTGCATCATAAGAAGTTGCTTTCCATGCATACAGGGCACACAGCAAACATATTCTCTGTCAAAGTAAGTAGGATTTGGACAAGCTAATGAAAAGCCAAGGAGAAGCAAAAACAAAAACAAAAAAGGCCTCCATTTAACACAGGGATGAGTGAACCCTGTCACTCTACAAATCATTAGACTCCAGCTTTCTGTAGCCTTAGCCATCATTGTCTATGGCAGTGGTTCCCAATGTTTGGTCCCCAGATGTTATCAGACTGCAACTCCCAGAAATTGGGGCCAGAACAGGTAGTAAAGAAGGCTTCTGGGAGTTTTAGTCCAAGAACATTTAGGGACCCAAGGTTGAGAACCCCTGGTCTATATCTTGAGCAGCATCTGGAAGGCAGTAGTGTGGCCACCCCTGTTTGAGTAGTATAAATGAAGAGAAAACTTAGGTTTTTAACCCATAGGATTGGGAAGCAGACTAGACATTATTTTGGCAAATCCACTAGTCTGTATGTCTGGCTCAGGATAGTCTTATGTGGGGATAGGCAGTTTGATGCTTTGCAGGTGTTATGAAATGCAACTCCCATAACCTCTAATCATTGTTCGTGGTGGTTGATGACTGTTGAAGTTGGAGTCCAAAACATCTCAAAGGCATGAGATTGCTAATCTTTGGACCAAGACATTCAGAGGTAAATAATTCAAAATGTAGCCCCAAGTAACTGACAGTGCTGTTGCATAGCTCACACATGGGAATTGTGCAGGAATAAGTCTCTGAGGATTTGTACTTGGGAGTACAAATCTTTGTCCATTCAATCATGTTTCCGTAAATAACGTCCAGATTTCATTACCTGCTTTGCCATGGCTCACTGTAAGATTGTTTCTGTGCAAACGACTTCACAGAATTACAGGTTGGATTGATTTGTCATGATGTGTGTTGGGTTTGCCTTGTTTCCTACTCAAATATGCCAGTTGTGTGATTTGGCTGTCCTGAGCAGAAACCTCTAGCGTGCATTGCAAGACTCTGCCTGGATTTTCTCACAAAGTTCACTTCATGCTTACTGGCCCTTGTCTTTATGGTAGCCAACTTGCTTGACAGGTTTGTCCAGCATGCCTTCGGTCAGGGCTGAAGAAAGAATGGCAGATGGAAAAACTAAGCTAGCAGTGATTTCCCCGCTAACATCAGAATTGAAGTAAAGACACTCTGCCAGCCAAGAAGGATAAAATGTTACCAGATGTGTCTTGGCTCTGCCACAAGAGATGATGTAAGCAAGCACAAACTCCAAATTATGATGTGTTCCTGAATACAGAATACGTTACAGGGCGGCTGCAACTCTGCGACTAAGTCAATATTGTTTAATATATTTAGTCCTCATCCAGGCAGATAAAAATAAGTGACTTCTAGGGTATTTTCTGATCTCATGGGAATTCGACTGAATTAAAAATTAGATTAGCAGATTCTGTATTCCTTGAACCCACTGAGAATGCTATTCTCCTCTCCTCCTCTACAGAGCTAACCTACTGACAAGACAAAAGCAGTTCAGGAAATTAGTGTCAGTCATGGTCTGGCCATGGTGATACATGCCTTAGTTACATCCCAGGATTATTGTCATGTGCTCCACATGGGGCAGCCTCTGGAAAGTTTTTGGAAACTTCAGTGGGTCCAAAATGTGGCAGCAGCCAGATTGCTAATAGGCTGGTCATAAGGATCACATAACCTCTACTCACCCACCCTTATAGTAGCTCTATTGGCTGACACTCTGTTTCTGGCCACAACCTAAACAGCTTGAGTACAAGTTATCGTACCCAAGTCTCAAGGGACGTGCTGGCACTGCAGAAGCCTCTGTGCTGTAGGGTCAGAGCAAAAGTGCTGGTTGTAACCCAATAAAGCCCTAAACAGCTTGAGTACAAGCTATCGTACCCAAGTCTCAAGGGACGTGGTGGCACTGCAGAACCCTCTGTGCTGTAGGGTCAGAAGACCAGCAGTCATAAGATCGAATCCATGCAACAGAGTGTTTGAAAGCATGTAAAAATGCGAGTAGATAAATAGGTACCACCTTGCTGGGAAGGTAACGGTGTTCTGTGTCTATTCACGCTGGCCATGTGACCACGGAAACTGTCTTCATACAAACGCTGGCTCTATGGCTTGGAAATGGGGATGAGCACTGCCCCCTAGAGTCGGACACGACTGGACTAAATGTCAAGGGGAACCTTTACCTTATGAGCTATCTCCTTTCTCATGTCTCCTTTTGTGAGCATACTTGGTGTTAAGGTCATCAGGAGAGGCCTTTCTCTTGGTCCCACCGCAGGTGTGTTTGGTAGGGGCACAGGAGAGAGCATTTTCTGTTGCTACTCCCAGATTTCAGAATTCCCTCCCACAGGGTACCAGGCTGGCTCTATCTTTGCTGTCCTTCCGCAAGCAGACAAAGACCTTTCTCTTCAGGCAAGCTTTCCATGATCGACTGGCTGCCTGAGTGAGGGGTTTGAATGGACTGTTGTGCCTTTCTGCTTTGAATGTGTTTTTGCTGTTGCTTTTGTTTACCTTTTAATTATTTTTTCAGTGTGGTATTTGTTTGATCCCTTTTAGTATTTGTATACTTACAGTTTTTAGCTTTCAGTATTGTATTTTAATCATGTAATCTGCTTTGAGTCCTTTTTAAGGAGAAACACAGGGTAAAAATATTTTAAATAAAAAAATAAATAAACCTTAACCTAAACAGAAAAAAATGAATACAATAACAACAAACAATACAAAAATTGGAATCCACAGTGACTAGGGAAAAAGGATAAACAGAGGTAGCAATTCAAAGCAGAATGAAATAAAAAATAATCTTTTATCATTCTCTCCCTCCTGCCTAATGAGAATCTGAAAGTGCCTCATTTAAAATCCGTAAATCGTGGTAAAAGAAAAGTAGGAAGTAACCAAAGTGTAAAACATGCTACCCATGTACACAAAAGGAAGAAGAGCAAATACGTGCCTGAATGTACAATAACAAAAGTGTGCAAATGCTAAAACTCTAAAGGTGAAAACATTATACTGCAGAAGTAATAAGGCCTACATGAGACTAAATCTGTTCTAACCAAAGGTTTTACTTTTGATGTAGCAGTTACTATAGAACCATAGAGCAGTAGCTTTCTATTAGAAATTTATCACAGTATAGGCTTTCAGTTATAATAATTGTGTGCTGTCAAGTCAATTCTGACTTAGGGCAGCCCTTTTTAGGGTTTTCTAGGTATATACTGTATTTCTCCATGTACATGAGCCCCCAATGTATAAAACGACCCCCTAATTTTGACCCTTGATGGAGACGGAGGAGCAGTCAACTGCTCCTCCACCTCCATCTCCTGCTGCCTCTGCTGCCCACCCGATCACCTTCTCCAGTGAGACTGTCAAGGCTCACCTCCAGCTCACGTTGCTGGAGGAGGTGATCCGGCAGCGGCAGCAGGAAGAGGCACTGAGCACGCACAAGTGCTTGTTTGCCTCCACCTCTGCCTCCTGCTGCCTCCACCACCAGAGTGGACAAGGTGGCGATGTGAGCTGAGTTTGTCAGTCCCAGTGGAGGTGGTGATCGGGCAGGCAGGGGAGGCAGCAGCAAGAGGCGCCCGAGTGTGTGTGAATGCTCCTTCGCCTCCATCTCTGCCTGCCTGCCTGCTGCTGCTGCTGCCGTGTCGGGGCCACCGGAGGGGCCAAGCCGTGAGCTCTGGAAGAGACAATTGGGTGGGGGTGGCAGCAAGAGGCGCCCAAGCGCGCATGCGGCTGAATTTCTTCCATGTATAAAATGATACTCAATTTCTCCTCCAATTATTTTAGTAAAAAGTGTCTCTTTATACACCAAAAAATAGGGTAATATTCATAAGTGGTTTGCTATTCCCTTTATCGATGCATCCTGGGACTGTGGCAGCGTGACCAAGGCCACACAGGCTGGCTCTTCTGAGATGCATGGAGGGGGAATTGAACTCCCAACCTCTGGTTTTATAGCCAGAAACCTAACTCGGAGTAATCCAGCCAACTACAAACAGCAAATGTTTTTGATTAGACTTTCCCAAAATTGACTGGGAAGGGAACAAATATTGAACTGGAAACTTTTGAATAACATTGTAATTTCTCCGCATGTGCTGCTACTATGGTGACTTCTTCCACACTGGATACTTTTACTAAGATTTTTCCCTTAATTACTTCCACAGTCCAGAATGGTAGATTCATAAGATCGGAAAAAGGCATGTGTAGATGTCTGGCACATGAGTGAAGAGGATCGTATAAGTCCCATTTGAATGGTGTACTTGTCCCGCCTGCTGTTTGCACATTGGAATTAGTAAGAGCATACGAACCTATATAGAGCCCATGGGCTTAGATATAATCCCTGCAGTTCTGTGTAGGTAGGGGCTGTTTGTATTGTTGAATGTCGCCTATGCAAGCCCCTGTGCAAACAGTGAAATGGTAGTTGCGAGTGGAGCAGGAACCCCATGCTTTGATTGGATTCCTGCACTGAATATCAGCTTTGATTTGGATTCCTGCCTTGAGCATGGGGGTGGCCTCGATGGCCTTATAGACCCCTTCCAACTCAGTTGTTCTAAGATTTTATGTGGCGTGGGAGAAAGGAATGGGCTTCAGCTGCAACAAATACTTTCTATACACATTACTTACATTACCATCATGTCTGAGTATTCTTTTCATGTGCCACACAGTAGATAAGGCAATGTCTGGAATGAAATATTTATGGCATTGCAGGAACTGGGTAGAGGTTTGTTTCTATAACCCCAAATGGTATTGCAGAGAGATTCTTCAAGAAATCTCTTGTCTTATGGCAGGATATCTGCTCATCTCTTATGAGGAAGATGTTCTTATTCTTGAGTGCTTACTGTTTTGAATACCTTGCTTGTTTCTTACAGTTCTTGCCACATGCAGAGGATCGGATACTCATTACTGGGGCTGCTGATTCCAAGGTGCATGTCCATGATTTGACTGTGAAAGAAACCATCCATATGTTTGGAGATCACAAGAACAGAGTCAAGCGTATTGCCACGGCTCCCATGTGGCCCAACACTTTTTGGAGTGCAGCTGAAGATGGGCTGATCAGGTATGAAGGCTCTCATGGTCTTCTAATGTGGACAACAAGATCTTTTCTTGCAAAGGAACTCTGGTTTTGTTAGGATGGTAGGAATTTTCTTTTGGGCATAAGGAAAGGGTGAAAGTTATAGCTGCTGAACCAATTTCAGGTGATAGTATAGATATAATGTTGTCTTATTCTATGTTGTACACAGAACTTGAATGAGGTACCTTTTAGATGACCACTCTCAGAATCCCCTTAGCACTATGACCATCACCATACTGAATGGGGGATTCTAGAAGTTGTTTCCCAAAGAAACAGTTTTTATAAGCTCTAGTCAAGCCATTGGTCATCAAATCCAATCACCTGCTTTGATTGACAGCAGCTCTCCAAAGATTTAGAAAAGTTGTTATACAGGCCTACTGAGTGATCCAAAATCCTTTTATTTGGAGATGCTAGAAACTACTGAGGTGTGCTCTTGAACTTTCCAACTTCTTATTAAAGAGAACCTGCATGGACAAAGTTCTGGAATAATTGAAGCATGGCATTTAGCTTAATTCAATACTTTCTATGATGTCTAATAATTTGCTTTGCTTCTCCTTTTAGACAGTATGATCTACGAGAGAACAGCAAACACTCTGAGGTCCTGATAGATCTGACAGAATACTGTGGGCAGCTTGTGGAGGCAAAGTGTCTCACTGTCAACCCCCAGGACAATAACTGCCTAGCGGTGGGAGCCAGTGGACCATTTGTACGGATCTATGATATACGCATGATCCACAACCACAGGTAATGGGCACTGGAGCTGATCACGTTGTGAGAGTAAGCTTTGAAGTGGGAGAGGTGATAAATTTAAATCTAGAAGAAGGAAGTTTCGAGAATCAGTTTACACGCTCTGTATGGAAGGGTGCATGTTCAGACTCCGCAAGGGGCACCATGATATAAGAGTCAAAGATGGATAAAGCTAAGACACAGTACAATCTGACAGAGATTTTTCATCTTGAGAAAACATGAGGGTGTAGGCAAGCTACCTGGGGGACTGAGACACATAACGCGAATGTTTTAGAGTCTTGCCTATCGTGACTATCAAAATCTGCCAAAGGTGGACTGATTGTGTGAAACTTCAAAGCAATTAGCACTGCGAATGTTTTAGAGTCTTATCTATCCTGACTATCAAAATCTGCCAAAGGTAGATTGTGTGAAACTTCAAAGCAATTAGCACTTTCCTCAAAGCACTTCCTGGAAACTGATTTTTTAGGTTTATTCCAGTAGGGTACTGAGACACAAACAGCCTTTGTCTCCTTGTCTTTGACAGAAGGTCATCCTGATTAGTTCTTCTGGACGTTCTGATTTGGTTTTGGTACAACTGGCCATGGTAGCCTCCTAGGGCTTCAGGTTGGGCTTGGGTGCCACAGTATTAGAGTAACTGCTACTCTTCCTTGAGGGACAGTCTCTGTTGTTAGCAGTGTGGGCCTTTTGCTCTGTGCTGTGGCCTTTCGCACATGGGATGCCAAAAGGGCCAAACTGGTTCCCTGTGCTTCTTGATATCCTCATGAAACTATAGGGAAGGTCATTTGGAGGTTCTTACTGTGGTGGTATTATTATTATGCTGATGACAGACAGATCTACTGTTTCTACCTGAAAATCTCAGCAAGGCTGTATATGTATGGGATGTTATCTTAGTTATTTTGGATGTAGTAAGTCAGAATTCTGAAGCATCTTGCTTGAATGCTTCTGGTTAATTCATCCTATAAGTGGGAGTGGCCAGATACATCTATGTTTATCACTGTATGAATAACAAACTCTGGCATTGCATGCCTGCAGGCACATATTCCAAGAACAAATAATGGTTTATGACTTGGAGTATTCCAGTAAATGTACATATTTTCCCAGTAATTTGGGCATGTTTACCCTTTGATGTAACTCCTTTGACCTTAAATTGTCCTAAGAAAAGCAGCTATTTAATGTCCTCCTTAAAAACAAAACATCTATTTTCTTGCTAGAAAAACCATGAAACAGAATCCCACAGCTGGAGTCCATACGTTCTGTGATCGGCAGAAACCCCTCCCAGATGGTGCAGCTCAGTACTATGTAGCAGGTATACTGTTGCCAGAGGGGCCACTTGATTAATGTATTTTTTTAAAGTGCTGGTTTTGTTGGCTCATTTAATGGGATAAATGGAAATGCATTTAATTGAGTGGGCCTGGTTGACTTAAACATGGTTCCTATCAGCTCTAAGTTGTATGTGTAGTTTCACTATATAAGCTCTTTCGTTCACTGCTAGTGTGTGCTGCAGAGTGAACTAGCTGTTCAGATAAACTATGCCATCCTTTTCACCTTTCTGCAGGGCATCTTCCAGTGAAATTACCTGACTACAATAACCGGCTGAGAGTTCTGGTAGCGACATATGTCACCTTCAGTCCTGATGGTACAGAGCTCTTGGTGAACATGGGAGGAGAGCAGGTAAGAGAGCTACTGGGAGACCTGTCCATTATAAAATGTTGTTAAAGGAGTTTTTGTTGTTGTTGGTAATGCTTTTTTACATTTCCCTACTTTAATCTGTTACTTTGAATACCCAAAACTGAGCTGGAAGATTACTCGAAGGTTTCAGAAGGGTCAAGAAAAGCACCACTAGGATGGCCTTCAATCTATCTACAAGGTGCTGAAAAACAAATCTGGAGGACTTCCCACTCTCCTCTTCTCATAAATGGACACAGCAGTTTGTTTTGAGTGCTGCTAGCTTTTCTATCCACAGAGTTGCTGCAGTATTCACTCAAAACCTGGCAAGGCTTCCGTGTGCTTAATTGATCAAATAAAATATTAAATTCTCTTTATTTGGAATTTTGCAACAAAATATTGTTTTGTCTGATAATGTCCCAGACTTGGATCTGAAACAATGTGAGCTCAGATCAGATCCCACTTCTATATACCCCGTTTCCCTGAAAATGAGACCTAGTATGATTTTTCAGGATGCTCATAATATAAGCCCTACCCCAAAAATAAGCCCCAGTTAAATGAAACCCCGCCCTCCACCATTGTGCAGCAACCAGATGACATGACTGTATTTGAATAAATGTAGATTGTGGTACATGAAAAAGTAAAACATCCCCTGAAAATAAGCCCTAATGCATTTTTGGAGCAAAAATTAATATAAAATCTTGTATTATTTTCGGGGGAACATGGCACTTGAAGGTCTCCTTGTCCCCTTTTCTAACATTTGGTGCCTTTTCTTTTTCCTACATCCCATTTAACTCCATATTTGTTTAATTAAGCACATGGAAACATTGTGGAATAGCCGTATTTCAGGATTTGCAGCTGAAACTGTGAGTTGTACTCTTTGAAATACCATTGAGGGTACACCAGGTGACTGACCTTAATATTTCGTATGAACCCATGTTTATTTGATGGGTGGTCATTAATTAGGAATGCTTCCTCAGTCATTCTCACAATCTTGCATCTGGACCAATACTTGCAGAAGTTACTTTTTTTTACTGTAAGCCCCAGAATTTCTTTCTGTTACCTGCCCTGACCAGACAAGCCTTTTTCCGGATCAGACAGGTGATTAGATTTTAAACTTCCAAGAACTCAAATAGCGCTACTAACTTTTTCTGTGATACAAACTGGAGTGATTGATGTTTGGCCTTCCAAATATTGGAATGGATGTGGGTCCAGCCCAACAATATCTAGAAGGTCACATGCTGCCCATGTCTGATACAGATTTTTTCTTTCTATCTTTGATAAAGCTCTGAAATCCATGGTTCAATTTTTGGACATTGCTAGATATTTGTCCTATCCGCCACCAACTTTCATGGTAGCAGATCAAGTGCCTCTTGTTGAATCCATTTTTACTTTGCTTTCTGAAAGACATTGTATTCCACGTGTATGTATGTGAGTGAATAAGAGGAAAAGTGCACAAGGAACTCCAGTTGTTGTCTTATTCCTTGCTTATCTTTACTTATGTCGTCCTCAAATTTGTTGCTTTGCTTTACTTTATATCTAGGTTTACTTATTTGACCTGACTTACAAGCAGCGGCCATATACTTTTCTTCTGCCAAAGAAATGTCACACTTCAGGAGGTAAGTGCACCACAGTTCTCTTTAGGTAAAACAAGGGCCTGTGCAGTATTTATCTCTTGTGTCCTGCTTTTGTTCGAATTGTTGGCTAAGCTTATATCCCTCATGGCACCTGGCATAGATTTCAAAATTAGTGTGACCATTCCCTTGATATTTTCTGGAGCAGTGTCTGTGGGTAGAGAGCAGCAACACAGATTCAGGAAATTTAGACAATTCTTTCTTTAGCAGACATAATATTAATTAATTCTTCATAAACCAGGGGCACCCCAGACCTGAATCACCAAGTAGGTCTTGCTATATTCCACATATTGAGAGGTTTCTCCTTCTGCCCCTACTTCAAGTAAATGCTAGGTGTCTATTTTGGCTTCAGCTGTGCTTATGACAAAGATATATGGTTTTTGTTGGTGACATTAGATATGAAAAATGAACTATGGCATGCTGTGGCTTTTTTTTTAAAGGAAGCCTTGGAATGGCAGAATATAATGTAGCGCCAAACCCAAGTGTTTGTAATGGATATCAGCTTATTTCCTTCAGAGAGAGAAACAGGAGTGAGAAAAATACATGTGAGATAGAACTTTATGGCTGATCATGTACTGTGATCATATTGGCTGCAGTGGGGATTGTAGTCCAATATAGCTCCATTGTGTGAAGTTGGGGAAATTTTTACCAAGCATTTATCTAGAATATGCCACTTGAGAACTATTTCCCAACACCTGTACTTCCTTTGATGCTGATTTAACAAAATTGGAACAGACTACAGTGGTGACTGCTGGTACAAAGTAGGGATCTGTGATATAAAAGTTATTCAGCAGAACAGGTAAATGCAGGAGACTTTACTACAACATACGCTGCTGGTTGAGGACTACAAATCCTATTGTAGAGCAAGGCTCAAAGGCATTTGAATCCTCTATAAAGTATGCCCTGATATGTCTGTTGCAGTGTGTTCTGTCCAGACCTTAAATTAATAAAATGTGTGTGGGCACTGTGTCAACTAGATATGAGGCTGTTGTGGCAACTGGGTAATCAGAAGACAGTCATCTCTCCATCTGTCTCCTTTCTGTTTGCTGACTCATAACAGAGCACAGCACAGGAATAAAATTGAAACAAATCCCAGAGAGGAAGTGACCAAAGTGAGTAAACAGGGAGAGCTGCTAACAAGAGTTTGAGGGGAGAGGCCCCTAACAATTTTTTGGGTTTCTGGATATAGTTATTGTGACATTTACCCATGTGGCCCCTGCTTGTTTCACCAAACAATGAGCTCACGGAGTATCCCAACACGCCCTTTACGTCACTGCCACCAGTTGATCTCTTTACCAACTATGTTTCCTATAAAGACTGAGGTCCATTCAGTACTTAACTTTGAAAAAAGAACAGGTTTATTGATTACAAGTTGTTTCAGGAATAATTCTTAAGCACATTCTTAAAGTAACACAAAGCTTCAGTAGTTTGCTTTAACCTTTTCTATCTTAACTAGTACGGATAACACTCTGACTATTCACTCCTTAAATTCTCTCTCTGCCTCAAACCCAAACTATCTCACCTCGAAACTTTGTCTAAACCGAACTAACTCTAGACTCTGACTCAACCCTCCCTTCTAGTTTCTCTGGCTCTGCCTCCCAACAACTGTCATTGGTACATGCAAATAATCTTCTATCTGAGCCAAAGCACGGTGATTGCCACAGTTATATATTAGCAGATTTTCCCAGCATCCTTTAAGGCAGACAAGACAAAGGAAAAGGGACCATAGACAAACAGAAGTAAAAAAGTAATAGCAGTTATTGGGGGAGGAAACACTTCAGTGGTAATGACCAGCAAAGTGTGTGCAATGTTTGTCTTATGCCTGAGTACAACACAGCTTACACACATACAGCAAGTGCCAACTGGTTGCACTGTTGGGAGAAAAAGTAAGAGAACAGAAGCAACAAGTGGGCACATTTAAGGCTAGAAGAGAAGATGAAAAGCACATAGAACTCGTGAGCAGATGCTGCCAAGGAAGACATTGGAGGTGGAAGAACAGCAAGACAAAGCAGAGGAGGAGAATGTAGAGGAGGGAATAAATGTAGTGGAGGAAGCACCATGAAAAAGTCACCTTTAGGAGCAAAAAGAGAAGACATTCTTCACCAGTGGAACTGCAAAACTACTTCCAGTTTTTTGAAGAGGAGTCTGGCAGACAGCATGTAGAAGGCATACAGGTGACCCGGTGGGAGGACATGAGAGAGGCTGAACTTCAGTCAAATAGAGTCACTGAGCTCACACCCTACAAAAAGAAAAGAGTAGCACAGAAGTAAAGATAGAATGACGTCTTATGCACAAGAAGAATAGAGCAAGCACCTCTAATCAGGCCCAATAATAGTCTTCATAAAAAAGTACAAAGGAAAGCAGGTCACAAGTCGTACAGTCTCCAGCGTTGATGTGTGAATGTTAGGAGTATGGGAAGCGAAGAAGAGCAACTGGAAATTGTACTTCAGGAGGGCAAATACAACTTGATAGGAATAACTGAAACTTGATTGGACAACTCCCATGACTGGATACAATAAATGAAGGCTATGAAGTGTCCAAAAAAGAACAGAAAAAAAATCACATATAGGAAGTGGAAGGAACAACTCCCATGACTGGATACAATAATTGAAGGCTATGAATTGTCCAAAAAAGAACAGAAAAAAATCACATATAGGAAGTGGAAGGAAGGCCAGGTCACAAAGGAAGAGTACAGACAAGTAGCAAAGAATTGCAGGGATTGTATCAGGATGGCAAAATCCAGTGCGACTTTAGGCTGCATTAACAGAAATGTAGTCTCCAAATCCTGTGAAGTACTAGTTCTCCTCTATTTGGCACTAGTTAGACCTCATCTTGTATAGTGTGTCCAGTTATGGACACCGCACTTTAAGAAGGATGCCAACAAACTGGAACAAGTTCAGAGGAGGGCAACAAAGATGATCAGGGGGCTGGAAACCAAGCCTTATGAGGAAAGACCGAAAGAACTGGGCATGTGTAGCCTTGAGAAAAGAAGACTGAGGAATAATATGATATTCAGCCATTGTCTGCTTACACTCGGTTTGTTTCTTTCCATCCTCAGAAGTGCAGAATGGGAAAATGATATGATATTCAGCCATTGTCTGCTTACACTCGGTTTGTTTCTTTCCGTCCTCAGAAGTGCAGAATGGGAAAACATCGACCAATGGAGTATCAAATGGCATCCATCTCCACAGCAATGGGTTTAGGCTTTCTGAGGGGCGAGCACACACAAGGTAAGATTTTACTTGTGCCTTGCTATTGCAAGGTTCTGGGGCAGAGTACAGGTGTTTTAGGTAATGTTTTCTGTGTTTCCATAACCCTTTTGAAACATTACCCCCTGAGGCTTGTTTGGACCAAGTTAATCTTTTAGACTTGGAGATTTTTGCAGAAGTATTCCTAATGTCCTGCGTTTTCTTAAGTGAACTCAAAATGACACACATGGCTCTTTTTCTCCCTTCTTTACCAGGAATCACTGGTTGACCTCTTCCAATGAGTTGGCATGTTTATCACTGGCCAGCCCCAAATTCTCCCGCCAACCTAGCGGTTCGAAAGCATGCAAATGCAAGTAGATAAATAGGGACCACCTCGGTGGGAAGGTAACAGCGTTCCGTGTCTAAGTCACACTGGCCAGGTGACCACGTTATGTCCTGCGTTTTCTCAAGTGAGCTCAAAATGACACACATGGCTCTTTTTCTCCCTTCTTTACCAGGAATCACTGGTTGACCTCTTCCATTGAGTTGCCATGTTTACCACTGGCCAGCCCCAAATTCTCATCTGCAACTTTTCCTGCCTGTCCCCCTGAGCCAAATTCTCACCTGCAACTTTTCCTGCCTGTCCCCCTGAGGGGGAGAACATGGACTATATAACCAGCTATCAGGGATGACAGGAGACTCCTTCCTATCCATTTGTTATGCTAGTCTTTCTCAACATGGTGACTTCCATGTATTAGATTGCAGCTCTCATAACGGCCATCCAATGTGGCCATGTGTTGTGGTTCAAAACATTTGGAAGGCCCCGGATTGGGAAAAAGTTGCTGTAAATGTATCCCTTTTGTGTTGTATCTCCCTTCCTTTTTTTGGTATGGATTTGAATTTGGCAAACCTAGCCACATGGTAGGGTAAAAGCTTAATAAACTGCAAAGGAAAGAGTGAAGAGGGTTCTACGGCTTGAAGGTAATTTGCTCTTTTCAGCTTTCTTTGTTTCTTTAGTCCACAGGTGGAACTACCTCCCTACTTGGAGAAAATTAAATTGCAGGCCAATGAGGCTTTTGCCTGTCAACAGTGGACTCAAGCCATCCAGCTTTATAGCAAAGCTGTGCAGAGAGCCCCCAGCAATGCCATGCTGTATGGAAATAGAGCGGCTGCCTACATGAAGCGCAAATGGTGAGCAGACACAATTTCTCCATGGGACAAGCCTCCCTTGTCACCTAGCACGAAAGCATTTCTTACATTCCCAAAATGCACAGTATCACTGCTGTGAATGGCTGTCAGTGCACTTGCTAAAGCTGTTTGGGTTGTTGCCTCTCAGCAGAGTAGCTGTGGCTGTCAATGCACTTGCTAAAGCTGTTTGGGCTTTGGGTTGTTGCCTCTCAGCAGAGTAGCTACAGGAGTTTCCTTCTAACCCGTACAGCTTAATTTGCTCTCCCAGCAAAAAGAAAGTTCTTTGTCCTTCCATTCTGGTAGACTACCGGTATATGCAAACAATAGTACCATTTGGAAGGAAAGAAATGTTTCTTTTTGAAGGAAATGTAGATTCTTTCATAGTTCAGTAGCTGAGCACAGATTTTGCATACAGAAGATCCCACATTGGGTCGCTAGCATTGGGAGCAAGGTAGGGAAAGTTTCCCATCCCAAACCCTGGAAATTTGGAACTTGTCAGTGTAGACAGTATTGCGCTAATAAGAGCAACAATCTGACTCTGTGTAAGGCTGGTTCATACACTGATGTAAGAAGAAATGTGGGTTTTAGGTAGGTGGAGGAAGAAATTAATATCCAAGCTCTTTGGCCTGTGGAGATCTGAATCTCTTCCCTTTGCAGGGACGGGGATCACTATGATGCTTTGAGAGACTGCTTAAGGGCCATTTCCTTGAATCCATGCCACCTTAAGGCTCACTTCCGCTTGGCCCGCTGTCTCTTTGAGCTGAAGTATGTGGCAGAAGCACTGGAGTGTCTGGATGACTTCAAAGGAAAGTTCCCGGAACAAGCCCACAGCAGTGCTTGTGATGCTCTGGACCGAGACATCAATGCAGCCCTCTTTTCAAAAAGCGATAATGGTGAGAACTTGCAGAAAATGTGGTTCTTTTTCCTTTTTGTCTCTGTCTTTTTCCTCATGCAACAGATATACAGCTCGGAAGAAGTTGCTTTTGGGGCTACACTGGCTGAAAGCTGAGTTCAGAAGACTAACTTTTTCCATTTCTGGGCAAGGAGAAGATGGGTAGGATGCAGAAGGTTATACAGTATTTAGATCAAGAAAGAAATCCAGCTTCACTAGTCCTACAGGCACAATCCTCTTTGAAGTTCTGACTACTATGAAATCAAGTAAAAACCTTCAATGTCTTGTCTCATCTATCCCCACATGAAGAATGAGAACAATTTGGAACTGAATGGCCAGCGTTTGGGCCCCAGCTCAGATGGTGTTGGTAGTGTTCAGTTTTATAGTCTCTGGAAACTAAGGGAGAGATGGTGGTGGCGAAGAAGGTGCCAGGGTGAAGTAGGGCAGGGTGTGAGATAGTAAGGCTTTCTGTTGTTGAGAAATGATTACAAAAAAGTAACTGGTTCTTTACTTTGTTCAGCAGAAGACAAGAAAGGTAGCGGCCCCATCTGGCTTCGAGCAACTGGGCGCAAAGATTCCATCTCAGAGGATGAGATGGTACTGAGGGAGCGCAGCTATGACTACAAATTCAGATACTGTGGCCATTGCAACACCACCACAGACATCAAGGAAGCTAACTTTTTTGGCAGGTATGGGGAGTGGACCTCTCTCAAGCTCTGTTGTGGGATATCTGTTACATTTTGTTGCCCACTGAATGTCCCAGAATGTAAATCTTGGCCTTAAGTGGTTTTGTGAAAGGTACGTGGGATTGCTCTGTACCTCATTTCCATGTACAGAATTTTTAGAAGCCAAGTGTGGCTAACTAGCAGCGTGGGTGCCACAAATGGCCGTGGTGGCAAGAGAGTTGCATGTGTAGGCAAGATCCCACTATGTTTATTATAGCATACAGGAATCTTGCACTTGGTGCTAGAACAGATGTTAGCATGTGGGAGATCGCAGTTCAGTCCTTGATACCTACTGTTACCACAGGTTGGGCAACTGCAGTAGGCCTAAAGCCCAAACCTTCACCACCAGCCCCTACCATAGAGCTGTACCAGGTCAAGAACTGGCTGGAAACTGTCATTTTCTAGGGAACTTAAAAGAGGACCAGTTTTGATTTTTCTTTGATCAACATCCTTAATGTGAACACCACAATTCTTGGAGGCCTCCAGGAGTAGAAATAGGTTTGCATTTGGTCAATAATAATAATTTTTTAGCTGATGGTCATGGGGTGGCTTGGAGGATTGCATGTGTTCACTAAGCCATATTTGTCTCACTCTGTTACCAGCATCTCCAGCAGCATAACTGGGAAAGATCTAATCCTTGGAAGTCAACTGCCGATTAGAGTAGATAGTACTGTGTTAAATTGGCAAATGGTTTAATTGGATATGGTACTTATAATTATGCAGTACATTTTAATTTGGTTGTTGTGGTTTTTTCCGGCTTCTTGGCCATGTTCTGAAAGTGGTTCTTCCAAACGTTTCGCTAGTCTCTGTGGCTGGCATCTTCAGAGGACAGCAAACTGTTAGGAAGAACCACTTTCAGAACACAGCCAAGAAGCCCGAAAAACCCACAACAACCATTAGATCCCAGCTGTGAAAGCCTTCGCGAATACATTTTAATTTGTTTTTAATTTTACCTGTATTTCATATATGTCCATAATCTTGAATTGTGCAACACTCTGATATGAGTAAAGGAAAGCAGGTAGGGTACAGATTGTGTTATGTACAATCTCAGTATCTGCATGGAGAACGTGTGGCCTTCCAGATGCTGCTGGAAGTGGTCAGACTTGATTGGAGTGGTAATTCAAAACATGGGTTTTCCAGTGTTGCCTCTGGTTTTGGTCACTTTGTATGTGTCCTGTGTTTTCCAACATGTTACCCTACTCTCATGCCTCCTAGCAATGCACAATACATTATCAGTGGTTCTGATGATGGTTCCTTCTTCATCTGGGAGAAAGAAACAACCAACCTGGTGCGGGTGCTGCAGGGTGATGAGTCCATTGTCAACTGTCTCCAGCCTCATCCAAGTTACTGCTTCCTGGCCACCAGTGGCATTGACCCTGTTGTACGGCTGTGGAATCCTAGGCCAGAGGTAAGACCATAGGCAGGCAGAGTGGGACTTGGGTGGGACTGTATGGGCAGGAGAACTTAGCACTGGGCAGGAGCCTATAATCTTCCTCAGATCGCTTTGTTCCTTCTGCAGAGCATGACATTTTGTCAGAGAATTCCTGCAGCATCAGGCAAGACTGTATTAGGACGGGGAAGCTCCTACAAAATGGAATGAGCTTCTTAACTCTATATCTTCTTCAGAAGTAATCCTGTTGGCTGAAATCTTAATACCAGTTCCCATTTGCATAAAGGGGAAAAGTGAAAGAGGGCTTAGTGAAATGTTGCTGCTTATTAATGAAGGTGCCCTTTGGGGGGGGGAATGTTTTGCAAAATTTTGAAAACAGATAATGTTCTGCTTTTGGTGAGTTTGTTGTTAAATGTAATGCCAACCCCCCTTTCTTAACCGCCTCTAATCAAAACTGGGTGTAGCATTTTGTTCTAAATTTTTCATAATTTGGGGACTGGGTGTAGCTTCCGATGGGTCCTGTGTGGAAATTGGGCCAATCCTGCTGTATCAAATGGTATCGCTTCTCGACCTTTTGGCTAAGATCATTTGTGTAGCAAATGGTACCTGAAGATCTGTGGTGGGAGCAGTAGCAGCAGCCCCACCCTTTTGGGTTGATCTCAGCCAAGGAGCTCCTGGGGCCCACTATCCTTTCCTCTCTTTTGTTTTACAGAGTGAAGCACTGAATGGCCGGGTGGTAGAAGACATGGAAGGCGCTTCCCAAGCCAACCAAAGGCGAATGAATGCTGACCCACTGGAGGTCATGCTCTTGAACATGGGCTACCGGATCACTGGATTGACCGGTGGTGGAGCTGGAGGCTCAGACGATGAAGATGGCTCTGAGGGGCAGGTCCACTGCCGGACCAGCTAAAGCTGAATTGCCTCTCCTTCCCTTACTTTTGTTTTCTTTTTGTTTGAAGGGAAATCTAGTTTGCTCTGTTTGAACTCTGACGAACGACTGCACTGTTTCACACTATGCACAGAGTAGGACATGCCAGCAGGGACAGGAGTGGCTTTGTTTAACTGCTGCTACAGTTTTCTTCCCCTTTGCCCTGTTCCACTGTTGAGCAGCATGGTAATGCAGCCTGTTGAGTTTTGCCTCCTAGCAGACTATACATCTGTGCAAGGATTTCTTTTCTACATTGTTGACAAGCAGTGTAAAATCGAAACAAAACTGGTAACTATCTTCTTTTCTCCTGCTGCCTAGCCTGGATGGTGGGAGGCCTTGCCTACGCAAAGTAGTGTTGCAGAGAGGATGTTTGAAACTCAATAAAAATGTAAACTAGGGCAGGGATGGTGGAATTAAGTTTCATGCAGTGATCTCTGTCTCTGAATTTTGGTTTGCCTGCTGTGCTGCTAGCTATGGGTTTGTAATCTGGCCCTTTTGGTCCCTCAGTCAGCCTGTAGGACAGCTGATAAGTATTTTCCAATCCTTGCATCTAAAACCTGACGATGACAAAGTAGCCAAGTAAACATGAGCACCTTAGTTAAGTATGGAGGTGGCAGAATACATAGCACCAGGCAGAGAGTTCATTTTCTGGCTGTGGTATATGTTATTTCTTTCATGTACAGAGACTAAGAGAAATGGCTGTAAAAAGGAGACACCAACCCAGGGCTTGGTTAACTATGTGACTCAAGCTAGTAAAAAGATCTGATTTTGCTGCTGTTTTGGAAACTTCTGGATTTTTTCCCCATACCCTTCTCCCAAAATGTTTTATTTCCTATGTCTCTGTGGCCAGGTGCTTGTGGATGGGGATGTTATTGCTTACAGGGCTTGCTAGTTTATGGTTTGTGGGCCCTGGCCAAACTCATGCCCTCTCCATCTCCCCATCGCTAGCATGACCCCCTTCAGCACGTGTAGGAAATACTTCATGGCTTAGCAATCTTCTTAAGCAGCCTCTGCCCTTTCCCAGCTGCGCTTCTGGTAAACAGGATTCTTTGACACAGAGACTGGATAAATTACTCTTCAACACAAGAATTTCCCAGCTAACATGTAGTTGTAGTGTCTGTTTATTTGTTTGTTTTTTAAGTTTTCTGATTTAAGAGGGCATACAAGGTTGGTCCACCCACCTCCACTACTATTGAATGACCCAATTTTGCCTGTATTTATGCTAGATTCCAGCCATCCAATGGGTCCTACACAACTGTTCTTCTGTCCCGGTCTTTTTTTTCTTTGATTATCACCTACAACCCAAAGTGTCCTTTGAAATCATGGTAATGTTTATTTATTATTAGTTTGGATTACACGGTCAGCCTTGTTCACCTTTCTCTGGAGGATCACATCTTAGGAACTCAGTATAGAGCCCCAGCTCAGCTTTTTTTTTGTCTCACACTCATCCCCCACCTCTTCTGTCCCAGGACTTCACACAGTTTGAGGGGTGGTGGTGATTTATGTCAGATGGTTTTGAACCACCTTGTAACATTCCTTTCAAATGACCTGGGCAACCATTGGACAGAGAGAGCACATGAAATTTGAGTGTAATCTTTATAAGACTGTTTAGCTATGCTTCCGCCTCTGCTTCCCATGGTTATTCCATAGAATAGGGCATACTATAAACCACATGTAAAAACAAAGTCCTCCCCATGTTACAAACTGTAGCTCCCATAATTACTATTAACTATGCATGCTTCACTTTATGGAACCCATAATTCAAAGCATTGGGACGGCAATTTGAATTTGCTTACCTGTGCTGTAGATCTATATCATCTGAGTGCTCTGTTTCCAAGGACAAGTGCATGTTACACAAAGGTTATACTGCATTGCTTGCCACTAAGAAACATGCTTTTAAGTAAAGGGGGACTGCACTCTTCTGGGGCCCATTGTATCAGATGACTTCAGTTCCCCCCTCCCTCCCTCAGTCCCCATTTGCTGGACAGTCACTTTAAGTATAGTATCCTCTAATAACTAATGATTGCATACCTTTATTTTTATAAAGACAGGAGGGTAACTGGTTCTTAAACCAAAATACATTATCTGAGGTACAAATTCATCACAAATAATGAATGGGGGGGGGGACTTTTATCCTGAGGGCTCCTTGTTCACTAAAAATGAAAACAAAAAACTGAGTTCATTTTGGAAACTCTGGGTGCCTGGTATTGAGGCCTCTTTCATGGTTGCCACATCTCTCTGTCTCTGTCTCTGTCTCTGTCTCTGTCTCTCTCTCTCTCTCTCTCTCTCTCTCTCTTTTTTTTTTGCAGCCACTTTTTCCTTTTCATTGGCAACGCGCATCCCCTGGGAAAAAAATGGGGAATAAGGTTCTAGCTTGACCCTGCCTGCCTGCCCAAAAAAATCAGGTTGTGGTTGGATGGAAGAGTCTGCCCTTGTTCTAGAAAACTATTTCGGTGCTATTGATGCTCCCACAGCCCACTTCCTGGGTTCAGTGAGCTGCAGCATCATGCCATTGCTCTACTTCCATCCTTTTGTACTTGGGACAATAGGTCTTGGTCCCAGTAATTACTCATAAGTATTTACTCATAAGTATCTACATAATTACTCATAAGTATTCCATGGAGTAAGTTGGAGGTGGACCTCTTATGGCCCTCTAAATATTCTTAAATTAGAACCTCCAGTATTTCTTATAATCATTGGGTTGATGTGAATGCCCAACAGTATCCAAAAGGCTATAGGTTGCCCTCCCTGGAATCAAGGAAAAATGCTCCTTGTGAGCCATTGAGTTACTACTCCAGTGGGTAATTGACATTTCTACATATGGGAGATGAAACCTTTTTAGTGGGGGAGAGGGTGCAGGTGGCAGTGGTGTACAAGCCATAAGAGAACTAAACTTAAGTGGAAAAGCCCCAATATGGCCTGCAACTTCTCACTCTTGCCCAGATTCTTTCCTTTTTAACTAGTGAAAATATGTGCCGTTTGAACTTTTTTAGAACCTTCATGTTCCAAATGTGCAAAAAGGTCCTATAGAGATACCATGTAGAAAATAAGATCAAAACACGTTCTATTGATTCTATCATGGCAGCTACTTTTTTCATACTATAATAACACCCTATTTTCTTCCTTTGTGCCATGCAAGGTGTGGATGGGTAGAACATATTTTCCACTGCCATAGATACTTTTGATCTAGTTATTACTTGGCTTAAAGAAGAAATGTGGTAATACTAGTTGGCTAGAAGTAGCCTTAACTTCTAGAGCCACCTTAGTCTGAATATAAATGCTATGCTTGGGGATAAGTAAATGCTGTATGAAATAACAAAAGAAAACTGATAAAGGAACAGATGCTGTTTAACTCATTGCCTTCCCCTTCAGATTCAATGTGGGAGCTTCATGGCTATATTTTATTTCCCTTTTTTTAAACTCCTTTTTTTAAAGCCAAGAAATACTATTTTTATAATCTAGCAAAGGAATCTCTTCCAGTACACAGAAAAGGTCTGTATTTTGTCTGCTGGAAAAATGGTTGCTTCCATAACATTTCAGGAATCTGAAATGAGATTTCTTTCCCCAGCACTGTCCTGTACAGAGGCAATACACCAGGATAGAGCTTTTGTTATTGGAGTGGGATAATTCTGTATATCTTGTCCCTGGAAGAGAAAGGGTGAAGCAATTAAACAGTTCTTATGTTTCTGTTTTGCTCCTGGTGTCCTTTGGTTCTTGAAAGTTTGACTTTGTGCTTTTCATAACCAAACAGTGCATGCTAACTAACTGTTTTGAGGGCAGTATTTATACCCTTCTGTTGCCTTCTTAAAAACTATCTTTATAATGGAATTCCAGTGGTGACTTAGATTTATTCTGCAAGAGGAGAGTGTATGGACTTCCAAAATAATTAATTGACCAGTAGCCATCATATCTGGACATATAGTGGCCACACAGTTTATTTTCTGTGTATATCCAATCTTAATACTCTTTCTTTAAAAAGGTATTTTTATTTTTATTTAGAGAAATAATTTAATATTTTAATATTGCCCCTTTAAAATTGCAACACTGAAGAGTGTGAGTTCCTGTAGTGTATATAATTCATACTATAATGAAACTTAAGAATTCTTTTTGTTTTTTGTTTTAATTATTTCATTCACATTGGACCCTGTCCCTTCTTTCCATGGCCCATAATCCATCTATGAATGTATGTTAGAAACAAAACAAGACACTAAAAGGAAATATATGGATATAAATCCTCTTACATTGCTTTTTTCCCTTTTAGGTCAGCTGTTGTCTGTGAGAGTGAATGTATGTATAGTAGCCCAATTAGTTAATCACATGGAGGTTGAGCACAACTTCTATTCTATGCATAATGCGTGCATCAGTTTTTTTAAATCATGAAAGATAAAATGAAGTAGTTTTGGTAGTATGGATTATTTTGTTGTGTACAGCACCATCCAGTGCTGTCTTGATGGATTAACTGGAGGCAAGAGAAATAGACAAAAGGGCTCAATTAGTACAGGCAAGTTATGATTGGAAGATAAATTAAAAACCTCCCCCACCCAGCCCCTGTAAAATGTGTGGAATTATACAAGCACATCAATGTCTTGGGTTTTTGCAATGTCTTTTTAAGGGTTTAGACTAAGACTTGTAAGGCTGGTAGGCTTCCCAGTGCAAGATATTCTGGCTTTTGTTTTCTCCCTGCATATAGTGGAGAGAGCTGTAGTATGCCTATTCCCTACTAGGACAGTGCTGGTAGAATGGATGGTTTTCATGCAGCAAATCTCTGAGCTTATTCACTGCTTATATAGCCACTAAATAGAAACAAAGACGGTGATGGGAAAATCCATCTCTAACCAATACCTTCAAAGTGGGACTATATGGATGAATAGTTTAACCTGATCTAATGCAGCTTCTCTTCATATCTGATGTGAGCATGCATGGGCATGTTAGTGGAACTTCAAGTGAAAAAATTCCTACCTCTGCAACAATGTGGCCTTTTAGCTGTTTGTTTGTTTGTTTGTTTACTTATTTATTTAACTTAATATGTTGCCCACACTACCTAAAGGTCTCTGGGCGGCTTACAACATTTAAAATACAATAAAAAGGCAAAATAATTAAAATTAAAATGCTGTTGTTGGACTGCAAATCCCAGCATTCCTCACTAATGGCAGTGGTGGCTACAGCTAATGGGAGTTGCAGTATTCTAATAGTTCTATGGCCTAGAGAAACTACCTGGTCTCTCACTTGTATCCATCAGTTTACATAGTGGTTAATTATAGGTATTGATCCATAAACTATTAGGATGGTCTGAGGGGAATGACTGATTATGTGTACAAGAAAAAAAAAACCTTACAAAATATAAGCAATGATTCTAAGGACATCACAAAAGCACTTAGGAAACAGGTAGCTGCTTCTCATGCTAAGGAAGCAAACGGCAGCTATGCCTGTTGGCTCCAAAGATTGAGAGAAGCTGGCAACGATTAAGGCTTTCTTCTAGAAGAAAAGGCATCCAACTTCTTACATCTCCACCACCAAGAACAAGCTAAAAACCATGTACTGTACACTTATTCAGAAACGTTGGCTTAGCCTCATTAAGGAAAAGCTGTTTCTCAAGAGAAGTCTGTGTTTATAAGAAAATGCATTCCATCTTTCTGATCATCTTTCTTCTTAATATTTGATGGTGCTGTAGCTTGCAGACTGCCCTTCCCCAAAACTCCATTTTACAAAGCAAAACAAGGAAGCCGATTAAATTTATGGAGGGTTTGCATTTTTAGTCTGACAAATTATGGTGAGTTCAATCTGTC